GACGAATACGCTGAGGTGTATCGAAAGTTTCATTTATCGTTTTGAACCTATAATCCATAATCTAATAGAAATATTTCTAATTAGATAATTCAAAGAATTTCCGATGATACAAGAAACAGTTAAAGCATTAAAATTCCATAATTAAACAGTTAAAAATTGTTGGTCCTATGAATGTTATTAACGCTTGACGTTTCGTTATAAATTAATATAATTAAACACATATCAAACTACGTTGGTGTTAATGAAAACTGAAGACTAATTAGAGCGGGGCAATTTATCAATGTTCCAAATACACGGTATTCTAGCATTGCACCTTGTATTTTGCGCTCGATCAATCTTCATTAATTATGCCATCAGTTTACATCGCCGGTTATGTTATATGTATATCGTATTAAACGAATGAATAATTAGTCGTTGGAATGATACGCTGAACTCGAATGTATCCTGTTGCAAGTCGGTTAGTAATCGGAGATTATTTGATCTTGAACCCATTGAAAATTTATACAATTTTCTATTTAATGAGGAAATGAAATAATTGAAAGGGAAAGGACTTCTGAGTAACACGATACCTCGAATAAAGAGCATTTTATGCACAGGCTACAGTCAACATGAAGATACTCTGTATTGAAAGGTTTAAAAGAAACGAAATTCTAATACGTCGCATAAGATTCTTCCTAGTAAGTGTATTTGATGGTTCGATTCATCGTAGTTGTATGGTTTTTCCATTGGAAGAGCAGGTTTAATGCAGCGATCAATCATTCCTGATACGAGGAAACTTGCTGTCGTTCTATCGTGCTATCGTTTGTCAAAATTTCGCGTATCTACCGATTGCCACGAGTGACGGTTTCTCAGGTGTCTTTTTATCTATCGATTTTGATCGATGACAAAGGGAAGAAGAGGGTAGAATTCGCTTGATTGCCGAGCTTTTTCAATATTCCCACGGTCAATTTTTCATTCTCAATTATATGTCGATCGAGAGAGGCTGGTTTTCGGTTAATGAAATATTCATCTTAATTTTCCAACTGTCAACTATATTTAGCCAGCTATGTTTTTCTGTTTGAATTCAATAACAATTCGATAGACGAAATGATGTATTGTTTTTCCCATTATTTTCCGATTAATCTTGGTGAATCTTTTTATTAACAAATATTACATCTCTCAAATAATATCATCAATTTAAAATTCAAAATTCCTTTGTTTCATTTTTCTTTTTAAACGAATAACACTTCGACACTTTCAAGAAAAAGAAACTTTAACATTCTACAACGTGTGTAGAGAAAAAAAGATATCGAATCTTCATCACAGTATCCACCAGGGTAATCGTTTATGACCGTTGCCGTTTACGCGAAAATATCAAGCTGAAACGAGAATACTTCCATTAACCTTCCCAGAAAAGGTGGGAGGTTCCATCGTTTTCGTGCAGCCAGAAAATTATTCGAGATAGGCGTTGGCGAAGTCGAAGCAGCGAAAAAATTGAAGGAGAATCGTAGGGGTGTCGCGTCGGCCACCCTTATCAAACGAGTCGGAACAAGACGCAAAGGGTCGGATGATAAATCTTTAAGCAAATTCAAGGTAGAAGGTGGGGAGGGATCGTCGATACGTTTCTCGCTGGAGGAAACATTGTGGAAATGACGAGGGGCTGCTTGATTCTCTACCCGGGTCCCCCGGGTGAGATACGGGTCGAAATGTCTTTGCGAGAAAGCCAGAGAAACAGAAAGACCGTTGAAAGTGTACAGTCAATTGCTCTGACACATTTCTACCTGTTTTCTCGAAACGAGAAACCGTTTTCGAAACTGAGATTAAATTTCAACCGTTTCGTATGAACGCGGTTGAGATTCAAACCCTAGCGGTGGAGAAAGAAGAAATAAATCACTGGGGGAGCCATAAGTAAATCCTCTGAATACATAAACGGTAAATAAAATAATATTTAGAGCAAAGAATTTCTCGATTGAACATAGATTGTCCGGTTTTAAAGCAAACTGTACGACGGCTTTGTATCGTTCACAATAGTCCGATTGAAAGGCTAAATGGAGCTTGCACGAGGGGTGAAAGGAGTTCCCTCGAAGTTGGGGATATTTTCGTGATTCCAATATATTAAACCGTATACACCTACATACATCTACAGAAGAGGAAATAGGCCGTTTGAACACACGTGTTTATGCGTGTATGCAGCTGGTACTATACGACAGTGAACGTCGATCGTTAAGCAATAATAGATCCGTCTGAATAGAGTGAACTTGATTCGAGACCGTATTTCCACGCGAAGGCTGCTCGTTCATAAGAGGACAACTAATGAATTATTTTTCTCACGATGCGCTGCACTAATTCCATCACGATCGAAGCGGAATACCACAAGGACATAGTAAGTTATTTTAGTTGGTGGATACGATCGGGAACACGAGAACGACGATTAATTATTTTGCAACGTCGATCTGATGTTGATTTCGAATTGAATGCTTCAGACTATTTTTCCTCTTCACTTTTCTTTGAATTTTTCTATTATAAAGTAAGGTATATAGTTGTTGTGGTTTCCTTAAAAATTAAGAAATATAATGTTACGCGTTTTTTAATTTTCGGACGGCGGACCATGGAGAGAGTCACAATTCTAATTTAATTTTATATTTCATTATAATAGGGATCGATAGGGGTATAAGTTATCCCCTGCAAAAATTATTTATTGATTTGGTTTTATTCTTAATTTTCACTCCAGAATTTTAGGATAATTAAAACTTTATATCTGAAAATGATTGGAATGCGATTCTTTTACAAAAATCTTTTTGGTCGACCCTATATTTTATAAATAGAAAATTGGATGGATGATGAAATACTTTTGAAGGGTATCGTGTACAACGTGTGAATCAAAGTGAATCAAAGGCGGTCGTTATTAGCCTCGTTCTATCCGGTGCTTCCGTGCTCGCTGGTCAAATTAGTCGAGGCGACGTCGTTATGAAGGGGATGCTTCGCACGTGCGCTATAAAAGAATAATAGCAGTTCTTTCTGTACGAGACCGGTTCGCAATAACTTGCAATCAAGATATTAGGAGATAAAGGCGAGGACGTGGTATTTTTTAAGCGGCTAAGAGCGAACGTCTCCGAGACTCCTACGTTGAAGGAGGTAACCCGACCAGGGGTTGTGAATCCCATTGACCCCGATTCCGTAGCACACACGAGGGTCCCTTAATCACCCTTGACCCGTTTCCCAGCGAAATTGTGCACACCACCTTTCCCAATCTTCCGCATCCATGTACGTATTGTGTAATAAGTAAGATTCAAAAGTTTCTTCTTTACCTATCTTCAAGGGTGCATCCAATATTTTTCATTATTTTTCTCCTTTCAATAGAAAAACTATCGTTTTTATTTTCTAGTTATTAATATATATATATATTTCAGGAAAATGTAATTCTGCCTAATTACCACGTTGATAAATTTTTGAATTCAGTGCACAGAAAAAATCACAGCTATGTAAAAATTTCTTTAGTCTGTGAAATAGAATATTTTTCAAATGGTTACTACGACTTTTGAACAAACTGTGTCATTGCAACATGTTTTTGTGAAACTCTTTGCTTCGCCGTACACCTGTCAAAAGATTATGGCACCTTTGATGTTACATTTTTGTAAAGCTTTATGTTAACATAATTACCAGGGAAATTTCATGCAAATTTTTCTGTTGCCTTTGGGCGTTATTTGTAGTCGACAGAGAATGTTGAATATTTAACATTTTTAATTGAAAAGTGTACACCGAAAAGCGCTTTTTTCATAAGTCCATTTTAAATGTAACATTTCACTGTTTCAATATGACGTAAACCTTTGTATATCTTTTTCCAAAGTAAAAAGAAGGTAATTTAAAAATCTGAAGTTACGCTTTCACGTTGAACAGAATTCGAAGTTATATCAAATTATTTCTTACGATTTAATACTGATTTAACGGTGCTGTTAGCTGAAGCATCTTGATGCACTGTCGACAATCGACAGTTTAATGGGAAGCCGTAAACTCGAACTTCGCGAAAAGAAAATAGAATAAAAGGTAGTTTACGATTTAGCTCGTTTCGACGGGACACGCGTTGTAGCTTTCGGCAAACAGCGACTGTAAGTCTTGTAAAATATATAGGTTCGCGTAAAACATTGGATTACATGCGTATTATTGTGCTACACTAAGTACAACGTCGAGCGAAGTAGGCTTTTCCATAGGGAAAATGGCGATATAGGGGAAGCAGGAATTATAATATATTTTCAATATATAAAATAAAATATTTTTATTTCCAATTGCTTTTACTTGAAATATATCCAGCTGTACTTTTTATCAAGCATACATAAATTTCTCTTATCAATTTTGAACTCGTGGAATCTTGCAGATCAAGACGAAGTTTCTTGCTTTTTCTTTCTTCTGAAGAAAAATAAAGGATTCCTTCTTGGTATAGCTGGAAAGTTTGCCGGTTTAATAAAGACCGGCAGTGGTTAACCGGGGTTGAAATTGGGCAAACGACACGTTTTTGAGAGTCTCTCTTTCGAGATTAAATATTTTCGGCGTGTAATGAAAGACAAGCTTCCTCGTTGCTCCTTGTAATATTAAAAAATATTCGTAACGATGCTCGGTGAAGATGAAGAAAAATCTCGTAGGGTTCTTTCATCCCTTGAAATTCTTCTTTTCTCTTTTTCTTTCCATTGCAAGAGTGGCCGTAATAAAACTCTCTTCTCGCGTCTACAGACGGCATACGTCGTTTCTCTGGCGTTTGAATTTGATGAACGATATGCAAAATGTTATCTATGATATTTAAAGAAGTTTTCAGTGAAACGAAAGGGAATAAACAAGCTTTCGAATACTGAATTATAATTCTTGTATAATTTTGATATTGTAAAATCCTAAAATTAGAATCAGAATAATCTCAATTTCCCCGATATGAAAAAAAACACTGAACGCTTTGTTTTAGAATAAAATGGTATTTGTCGTGGATTAATTGGCGCACGAGTGACTAATTACAAACTTCTTGCGTGCGATTACAGATTTTCGAGCAGACAAATCGGCTTGCATGGACCTTGATTAGCTGGCCTTAATGCGAGGACTGCAGGCATTCAGCGCGCCGACAGAGGGTGAGTTTATTATTTATTGATCGTTCAACATTTTCTACCCACGTATAAATATAATATTACCGAGGAATTCAACTCGACCGGGTATTTGAGAAAGGAGATCTAAACAGCAAAGTTCGAGTAACACAATTTCATAAACGCATCGTCTTCGAATAGAAAACAATTAATTTTTAAACTATTTATCTTAAATGAAATAACAACGAATGAAAAATTAAACGAATTCAATTCAATGAAGATATATCTTCTTAATAAATCAAACGATAGAAGTTTCACTTGATTCTACTGAAAACAGAAAGAACCGGGTCTGTTGGTCGAAAGTAATCGTAAGTTCGATTTGTTTTCGAACGGGTATGTATCGGGTCGAAACGATCGATTCGAATCCCCTAGTGACGTTGCAATCTTCCTCGTGATACTTTCTCGGGTTAACGCTTTCGTTCCAGACGGTAATTGTGCGAAATCGCATGAGAAATTACGGGAATCGTGTGTTCGACGGTTGAATGTTGCATCGATCAGGGAATTCAGTGATAGTGGTCAATAATTTCAACGGCCTCCGGCGGCAGTGACTGGCACAGTAGAAAGGGCGCCGGGTGTAGTCAGACACGTTAAAATTATACTTTCTTCCATTTCTCAGATTAAATATTCTTTAATTATTATCTTTTTAGTTATTTTATAATCAACTATAATTCTTAATAATTTTGAATTATCTATCGATTAGGATATATCAAATATATCCAGGATAATTTGGAAAATTCTTTAATTTCTAGCTGAACTTGAAAAAGTTGGAAATTTCTTAATTTATTCCTGATTTTCTTCACGGTATTCAGAATTGGGTCATTATTGTCGTCAGTGGGAGTCATTGGCCGATGTTTGGCAATGCTTGTCGCGAAATTTGCGCCGATGAAAACGTAACATTTAGATCGTGGCTCGTATCCAGGCCAATCACGCCTCGCAGACGAATTAGCCAGTTTCAAGAACAACCTCTCTTGTTTGTCTCCCTTTTTTCTTCGTCTTCTGCTTCGTTCTCTACCGTGATGAATTCCCGAAAGACAGCTCGGAAGGAGCAATGCCAGCCAGACTGCACTTTGCAACGAAATATTCGTTGGCAGAGTGCACCGTCGAATTGGAACGAGTCGACGGCTGATAATGACCCCCGTGACTTGTTTCTTTTCACCTTCGTTCTTGTGTCTAGAATATTTTTTAATACTTGTGCAATTATAGAGTGTCGGAGAAACTTTATTCATCGACACGATAGATATTATGGATTGTGGATATTGGGTCATTTAAGATTCAGACTTCAGTTTGACAATATTCAATGTAATCATTCAGAATGAAAGTGCATTGTATAACTGTGTAACGTTCTATTTTTATTAATACCAGTAAAATATCAGAACTCTATAAATTAGTAATCCGATCCATTGTACGCGTTTAAGAAAAGTAATGTCATAAATTTAAGTTTGCTCTCTGAATATATTTTTTAGTTAAAAACGAGTAAAAAAAAATATTTAAACTAATTAACTGTCCATTTGGATCAGAAACGCCTACGATGACAGTGTTTTAATTAAAATTCCATCCGACCTATCAGTATGAACTCGATAAAAAATAAAGGAAGTTTTTTTTATCCAGGATATCGAGATTTTCCCACCGACGCATAATTTTAAAACACCCACGAGACGTTTCCCGCTATACCTTCTGTGTTTTAATCCGTTAGCAACTTCGTTTGACCTTAAAGTAACACAGAAACTCGTCGAAGTTTATTTGTTGCTTCAAGGTTGCAGTTGTTTTCTCTCGAAACCCTGCAGAATCTTGTTGAATCGCGGTGCTGCAGGTACCATGCGGCACGAAAGCCAAGGAAAACAAGGGAACGGTAATAATGTCAACGTTATTATGGCCGTTCGAAATTGTACAGTGACACGGTATTAAATTTTTTAGAAGAGAAAGAAAACTTTGGTAGCGGGACGGAAGCGCAAGACGGAAAGTTTCGAGTGTCGGTGAATAAAAGGTTCCCCTCGTTTCTCACGTAAATTTCTTGTTTCTCTCTTCGCTGAAAATCTTTAGAGTTTCCTGTTCGCGAGAAAAATAAAAGGAGAGAGAAACTCGAAGGACTAGAAAAAGAAAATTACACCGTTACCGTCGCTTAATACAGATCTCGATGAAATTTTCTTTTATTCCTCCTTTGGAATACACGTTTTTCCTTTAATGTCTTTAACGGTTTACGTTCTTGGTACTTTATATTTGTTCGGTAATGAAATTTTTCTATTTGAAAACAGGAATTGCGAATTCAAGATAAAATGTCAAGTTTCCCGGCGAAAAATTTGTTTCTTGAATTTCTTCAAAAATCTTATAATGATCTCAGAATTTTAACGAGTGTTTTCTAGGCTGAAGCATGAATATTTGGTAATATTATTTTTAAATTTCCAAGAGAAAATTCTTTATAGTATTTTAAATAAAATATTATTTTAACTGGCTAGATCTCAGAATGATGACCTAATTAATGTTTCTTTGCACTCCTCGTAACATGTTCCGCTATCATTTGAAGAGAAACAGGAACTGAACAGAGTTGAAAACACCATAAAAATTACACTAATAATCTGAAGTGTTAAATGAAAAACTTAAGTGCTCGTATACTTAAGTAAACCCTTACTGAACACGTTTCTTTCCACTCGTTAATTATCTCGCTTCATCCTACAATGCTCCTATTACTCTAATTATTCTTCCGACACCTAATTGCCACTTCACCGGCTGTCGCGTTTAACGTTACGAAATTAAACACGTTGACGAAGCGGAAGGGCTGAGAAATTTGATCAAAGAGTTGAAAGGAAACGCGTGGGATAAAGTGGGTTTGTATATATTTGTATGCGGAGAGGAGAAAGGAAAGAAAAAACACCGTTGAAATCGTGGGCGGATGCGAAAGATGCAAAAGGCAGGGAAAGCGAGGGTGCACGAAAGCCGGAAAATCCACGGGTCGTATCGATAGGTCATCGAGCACCTGTGGCAAATGTCCTGCGAAATAATGTTCTATGTATCGGTCGTTTGATTTTCAACACACGCGTGCAAAACGATACGCCTCGTTGCTTGGAAACAAAGTTCAAAGTTCAAACGCGACAGCTCGAAGCGAGGAAGAAATTCAATACAATAATTGAAACTTTCCTGTTGTATTGAAGTTAAAAACGAGAACGTAAAGAATGGAAAGTTTCGATTAACTCGTTGTCCTAGGATTTTTCTTTAACTATCGATTTGTTAGCTGTGTCAACCCCTTAGAGCTTTGAATTATCAGAATGGTTGCGTTTCAAATCAAGATTATCAAATTAAAATCTGCATTAATTTAATGGAAAGACGTATAAAATTTTTAATTTCTTATGTTAAAATATTTTAAAATTTGCAATTCAATGTTGTAAGCATAAAGTTTCAAATGAACGGGTGTTTAAGGGAAGTCCCAAAAATATTGGAAATAAAATATGTTTCCCTGTAAGGAGGAAAATATCGGAAAGTTTGAAACAGGGTGTTCCGGTCTCCTTAGTCGCGAATTGCTAGTAGTAGTGACACGGTGTAGTCCGGCGTGTAGTATAAGCATAAAAATCTGAGCGAGGAAATAAAGTTTCACGGGAACGGTCGGTACACAGGATGAACAGTGCAACACTTTCTTTTTTTCCTCAACACATTGCACGATGGGGATAAAGCGTAGAAGAACTTTACTATTCCCAGGAGAAAGTATTTCCGTCGGGCTGGACGAATTATGCGCCAGCAGGAAATTCATCGACGACCCCTGCTGCTTCTTCCAAATCATTTACACCTACTTTCTTTTGCCACTTTCCAAAGATGCGCTTGGAAATAATTTCGAAGAGTATGTGGGATTTCTTCTTAAACCTTAAATGAAAATTTAAGGAAAATTTGAAAAATTTCTAAATTTTATCATTTTTTTAAAAAATGTAGTTCAGTCGATTTTGCTGAATCTTTCAGAATGCTTTGTAATTATCTCCCTCTTCTTTTTTCACACGTCTGTTTCGCCTTTTGCTATTTCACGAACTTTCAAATGTAACGATATTTCAACGCGCTGGATTCATTTCTCGAATGAAGAGGAAAAACAAAGCTACCGTTTCGTTTTATCATCCCTGGGGTTAATGCTACCCCCTTTCCTCCCTTCCTTTTTCTTTCTTTCTTGCTGTTTTTTTTTTTTTTTGTTATCGGTTCATCCTTTATTCCAATCACAGGCAGCCGCACACGCGTCCCAGTTCTTTTCTCTGCTATTCAATGTTCCTTCGATTCGAGCGAAATGTTTCAGAAGCAATTTTTCTCTGATGCACGAAATCACGGTTCGTTTGAAGCATCACGGAACGTGTAATCAGGCATCCAACGTTCGTGCCTAATTAATACTTGTTTCCCAGCTACCGGCTAATGATGTAGCTCGCACGTTTCAGGATTTAAGGCTGAATTTTCCACCCCTATCTCACGTCTGTTTTCAATTTTTCTACTCGGTTTTCACTAGTTCTCTAATTCGTAGGTATATGCTTCTTTCGTTTATAGATAATAGATAATCGTTTGAGTAGATTTATCGTAAGGGTTGATTTTGATGTAAATATTAGTGAAATTTTGTACTAGATGGTTTCATTACACAACAAGTAAAATATTCTTTTATTAATATCGTAATAATATCGACAGAGGAAGTTGTAAAATTGTTAAGTAAGTTCCCAAGCGAGCAATTAGATTAAAGTAGCGCGGTCAGGAAAATTTCACTTCGAAATCACTTGCGTACTGAAACTTGGCACAATTATTAAGATATTAATTTACTTTTTAAGCCGCTTTACTTCCCATACTTTTTTGTAACTGGAACAAGATGGAATGAAATTTCCTGACAGCTTAACGTTTCCAACAGTTAATCTTCTGCTTTCTGTTATTCTTTTCTGTAAATTATTCTGCGGTGGGCTTGGCTGATCTCTCTTAGAAATTTGGAAATTCTGAAATTGTAAAATTTACAAATTGTGAAATTTTGAATTTGCGGAATTGTG